TCTACATAAGTATAAGGGACAGGAAAAATACTGAATCTGCCAACAGTTAAAGACAAGAGAAAAAGGGCTGGGATATCCTTGACACCAAGGGAGTTTCTTTCAATCATGATACCACTAAACTTTCCAAATGCCTCTGAAAATATTTGTTGAAGCATGACTTATCTTCTTTCAAAAACACTTTTGCATTCCAAGTGATAATACAGTTAGAGTCCTCTGCATAGGTTTCCATCCTGCAACCATTTTTGAGGTGACTAATTCTCATGGAATTTCAGGGGATTTGACAATATAAATACCTTTATTTCATTTTAAAAACCTGCTACCTTCTGTTAATAAATACATAGAGAACATTAAGGCATGAAAGAAATTTTTAGGCTAATACCCACAATGTTTGTAAAATGTCTATGATTAGAATAAAAATATATAATAGACATCTGCAAGTGTTTTAACATTTTAGTTTTATGGGTGTTTTTTTGTTGTTTCAGGAGGGAAGGTGTGTTTGTTTTGCTTTGGGGTTTTTTATTCTCTGTACCTGAATCAATCTTTAAATGTTCATTTAGTTAGGAGTGATATGTATCTTAGATGTTATTTAATCACTTCCTCTACCAAGCCATGTTATTTTAAACAATTGGTAAATGAATCACTTGCAGAGGTCTCTGCAGAATTGAAGATTAATACTGTTTTCTCCAGTATGAGACACTCAAATTTATCCTCTAGAAAACAATAGAGAACACTGAATACACTTCTGGGAATATGCAAGCAATTCTGTAAAGTAAGGGGAGGTTTACATTACAATTGCCATATAAAATTCAGGCAAGTTAAATCATGAAAGCCAAACCAAAGCAAAAATAGTTTAATGCAGGTGAAAGTCAATGCCAAACAAGAAAAAGTGAAATTGCAGCTTGTCTGAGTGAGTTCAGCATAACAGAACTGTGTGCATACAAGGGATTAAACATGAGGGAAGAACCTCCATGTGAACAAAACTGAAATTAAAATAGAGCAGTATACTGACTAAAAGAGAGGATGGAAAATGCAAGCATATCTGGTAGCAAACATTAGCTATAGCAGATGTGATTGCCATTAGCTCTAAATGCATGTTAAATTAAAGGCAACATCTGTTGTCACAGATATGGCCTCAGTCATCTGAAAAGAAAAGTTAATTTGGAAATCAAAACTTTAGAAAAGGATTAAAGGCAGAGTTTGGTAGAGGTAGAGGAGCCTGATGTCTGCCACAACAAATGATAACTATGAGCAAATGTTCACGGTCCTGAATAGTCATTCTACAGCTCTGAGTGAGTTGTGTTAGAGCAGCTGGTGAAGGTCAACAAAAACTTTTAAGGATGTAAATACAGGAGTCAATGATTTGACTTCTTTTAAGACAATCAAAGATGAACAAAGTAGATGCTGGTGACAAATGCTGAGAGAAGGAAAGCAAAGTCACAGAGATTTCTAAATAATAACTAGCATTTAACTGAGCAGCACTTACAAGAAGAAACGAAATTATTATGATACTAGGCAAATACTGGAACCTAGAAAAAGCAAAGTACTAAGAACGAGTCAAAAGTTCAATCACACAGTTACAAAGGCTGAATGGAATTTCAGAAAACTGAGCAAAAGGATTTCCAAACTGATGAAGGGATTACAAGTACTAAAATAGATTGTAGGAACTGCCATCAGAGAAATCACGGAGAAAAAACTGTGTCATCTAATCAAAGTGCTGAGGAATAAAAAAATGAAGTGGAGGAAACCTACCTGGCTGGGACTTCTTAGCACTGTTTTTGTAAACTATTTTTGCATCAAGTAAAAAGACTTGCAAGTACTTAGCAACAGGAAAATATTACAATAGAAGGGGAAGAGTGCCAGAAACTATTAGTATTTGGTATCCTGCTCTTCCCATCGCATCATCAGTTACATAGTGGCTATCTAAATTTACTTTAATAAATAGAATGCTGAAATAACTTTAAAAAAGCAGTTATAGCAACAGTCATAAAATCTGAATTAATGTGTAGATATAAGAGTTTATTTCTTGTTTTGGGTCTTGTTGTAAAACATGAAGTTCAATTTTATTTGGGCAGACTTAACCACCCTTAAGCAATGAAATTGTGTTTTTGAACACCCATCTAACTTATTTCTAAAACATCATACAGATTTAAAGCAATCTTGCTAAAGTTACAAGTCTAAAGTAACAAGTTAGGTGGCTTTTTTTAGTGAGGATCTGTAAGTTTAAGTAATTCTCACCTTTTAATTTCACTGTAGTAAAGTTTAAAGTTTACAACAATATAAAACTTGAAGTACCTATAGTTTCCTGTTAAATATTGTACAGCAAGGAAATTTTTAGATGTAATGAGTCGATGAGACCATGTATTCTTAAGCATTTGTTACTTCTGGGACAGCATGCAAGAATTGCAGTGTAGATGCTACTATTATTTGCTTCTCCCAGCATATTGTCATACCCCCTGAATAAACATCATCCATGCAATTCAGCCCTTGCAGTTTAGAAATTACATCTTTTTGAAAGAATGGTGTAATACCTCCATTAGAGAAATCTCTTATTAAACCTCTGATCTTAACTACTTGGGAACAGGGGTAGAGGATGTAAGTTATAATGACAAAACTGTCTAGCTAGTATAATGAAGATGTAGATTATTACAGAAATTGTACAAAGCAGGGTTCACTGTGGCCATTTAAAAATATTTTATATTGGTAGTAAATATCTCTCTTTTGTTCAGTTGTGTTGGCATAGAATCCTCTTGTCATTAGCAGCTATTTCTTGCCAATATATTGGTTTATGAGTTTTCAATAATAAAGTTCTTTCCCATTTTTGTTGACTGAGAGTTGATGTTTGAATGTTAAGTAAAAATTCCTTTACTCTTACAACAAGATAGGAATATCTTTAAAGACTATTACCCCTGGGGGTAGAAACTATCTGCTAATCTCTCCATGCAATAATCACTACCTGGAGTATATATTTGAAAAGACAAACACAAGCTAAGCCATGCAAACATGATGCTGCAGTTTTGTTCTAGTGCAATGTCTCCTATTGTCTTCCTAGTATGTTTTATTTGTCATTTTCATTGTTCTCCTGATAAAATTATAAATGCTATTACACAGTAAACATTAGAAATTTTATACCAAATAAAATTAGCTGAAAAGAGATTAGTTTCATTGTTTAAACAAAAGAAATATTGCTCCTGCCATATTTGCTTCTGGAAATTGAAAAGTGAAGATGGAATAGGGGATAGAAAAATGCTGGAAATTTTCCCTCGAGTTTCAACCCACTTGGAGTTGAAAATAAACTTTCATTTTTTAAAATAAAATTTTCTTAAGTAATGTCCTTCAAATTGTTCATTTGTAGCATTAGCAACTCATTTAAATAGCCACATTGTAAAAATAGTTGGTCAGCAATGTATTTTAATGACAGTTCTGCTCATGAGAAGTGCAAGAGATTACTCCATCAATAAAATCAGAATAATTGCCATGTGTAAATGACAATCTGAGTCCATGTGTATCAAAGAAGTCAATGGTATTGGAAGAAAAAGGAAAAAAATACTGTAGCCAATGAAAGACACCCTAAACAAGATTTAGGAATTGTTCTGGCCAGAGATTCCTTTGGTATATAGGTAATTTCAGCTGTTTACCTTTAGATTAAAAATGTTAATAGTGGTGTTTTAAGAAGTCAACACTAGATACTCCAGCAATCCTCACAGATGTTCATGCTTTAAATAGGAGAAGTAATGTCCTTTCTACAAAACGAACACATAATAGGAGGGAAAGGAAAAAAAATCTCCTCCAAGATGTTAAAATGTAAACACAGGCTCTTGCAGTAAAGTATATGGAAAATTACAGTGAGAAATGACAAAGTCAGATTGTATGTTATAAAGAAAGAGGAGTGGATAAATCTGTTATTTAACCCTGAGGATAACGTCTTAATTGATGAAATAGTTAGGAATGTAAAGCTGACAGAGGAGATGAACTACTCAAAGAGAAGGGAAAGGGGGATACATGAGATGAAAAACCAAAGCAAGAATTCAAGTCAAAAAACATCTCTAAATTTTGTGATTGGCATATGGACTCTAGAAAAACCTCTGCAGTTAAACAGAAGACATTAAGTTCAATGATCAAACTGGAAGCCATTAAAAGCAAACCTGAAATCAAAAGCAAACTTCAGTTCAGCTGTCTTAATGGCAAAGGAGACATGGAAAGTTTCATTACCTTGCATCTTTATATCATGACATAATAAGCTTGCTTGTTCCAAGTTTCTGGACTGTGGGTGCCCACCTTTTTCCCCAGATTCAGAGAATGCAATCAGGGAGTTGTGAAGCATTGAAGATTTACTGTGCTCTTCCCTACTCCTTCTACACCCTTAGTCTTCAAGGTCAAGTAACTTCCATCCACCTCTTAAAGCTTTCCCAAATTACATAGATTTACTATCACCAATAATTCTTACACTATTCTATAATAAAGTTTGAAAATCTGACTTAAATGAAACCTAAGAAACTGTAGAAGGGCTCATCCAGTTCAAGTCACTGTATTTAGTGATGGAAAAGGGAAACAAACATATTGTACCAACTAGCTGATGAAATTCTGTGTTGCTACTGGCTGTGACTGTATGTTTTAAGTAACTATTTCTAATGAAAGGAAAGCTTGGAACTTTTCAGGAGGAATTAAACCTTCTGTTTGGTCAGGAATTAATTTTGTACTTGGCTGTTCTGGTAGCATGTTATTACTTCTACCCGGGACTACTTTTGTGGGTAATGACTGCTTTTGCTGCTTCTGTCTTAATTTCTCCTTTGACAGTAAATTATGTTTCATATGCTGTTTGGATTACTTTTGTGTTAAGATAATGATGCTGAAGTCAGGCTGTAGACACCATTTGTTAGAGATTCAAATAGTAGTTTATTTTTAAAATCTCATAACTAAATTCACTGATATAATAAATGTGCATGATAAAATCTTAAATTAGCTTGCACATAGTGCAACTAAATGTAACGGGATTTTCAAAGTTTAAATATTGTATCTTAATCCTGACAGTTAAAACTTATAATTACATTGTATATCCTGGGAGCTTTTTTATTACAAGTTCACTGATGTCTTTGTACTCATTAGGACCATGTAGTTTTTCCAGAAAATCATCTTCTTTGTCTGACATGCTGTTTTCCAGGACACTAAGTTCAAGATCAGACATGTTAGATGGCAAGAAAGAGCTAACTTGAGTTACTGACTGTTTTTGTCCTGTAGAGGTCTGCCCCTTTCCTATATTCAGATCAGTATCAGATTTAACTTGTTTGCTTCTCAGTGTAGAAATTTCTTTAATATGTTGATCACCCCTGTTCTCTTCCTTACTCATCTCTCGGGCTTTCTGCTCTTCATCTAATAATGATGCCTCCATCTCAGCAAGGTTAAGTGAATCAGCAGATTCAGCACTAGTTCCTGTGCTGGTTTTAAAGTCACCGTTTCTCCTCAAAGACTGGACTGGAGATGAAGCTGAAGGAACTGGCACAAGATCTGAAGTACTTTGAGCTCTTTGACTTGTCTTTGAAATTCTGGACCTGCTGGATTCTGGCTCTGTATCTGACCTATCTTGCTTTGGTCTTTCAAGCCACAGAGGTTCAGGACTGCTGTCATGAAGTTTTGAGTCTCTGCCTGTACACTCAGCACTGGTGAAATCTTCTGAATAAACTGTGTTCTCCGGACTAGCAATGAAGTCATCAGAGTATATGAATTCAGAGTTGTTTTCAACACTCCTGCTGGGGCTTAGTTTATGACCACTTACAACAGACACATCATCAGGCTCCATGGTTTTACGATGGATTAACTGTATTGCATCATTGTAACTTCCTTTTGCATTAGCATCTGATGGGAATGCTGCTGGGACTTGAGCTTTTGCAAACTTTTCCTGATGAGCAGATTTTAACACAATTTCCTCTGGTAAGGGGGCTGTAGTTATTTTGTAAGGATGTTCCTCGCTTGCAGTCGAATTGTTCCCGGATAGACTTTCAATAGATTGTTTCTGCAGGCCAGGGGACACATCTCCTGCAACAGAAATTGGCTCAGAGAGAGCACTGTTTTCTAATGAAGTCTGAACAGTTTTATCCAACTGATTATTCCGCTTTGATCTGCCTCCCGTGCTACAATGTCTGCAAGACACCACATGCTGTTCTTCAGTATTTCTGACCAGCTTTCTCTTGGATAAGGGGCTTCTCTCTCTCAGCATCTCAATTTGCTTTTTTCTGTACTGCTCCCTCCTTTCATGAATTATCAGCTTATCCGGGTTGGTCTGCTGCAGTCGTAGCCTCAGTGTATTTGTCAGCCCATACAACAATTTCTTTCTGGGAGGTCTGTTCTCCTTAACTTTGCAGTTCTTTTCACAGGCTGGCTGTCCCTGGGGCACAGCTTTCTTGGGTCTGCCCCCAACCCCCGAAGACCCTGGGGAGATGGCCTTATGACAGCCCTGTTTAAACTGAGGGCTCGTGACTTCACTGCTCCTGCCAGGCTCCACAAGTGTCTCTGCAGGCTTGACGGCAGTGGAACGACTTGGGGACCGTGAGGCCGCATCCCCACTCTCCGGGGCTTGGTAGGGCCAGGCAAGATGGGGGTGGACAGCAGCAGGAACAGCGCTGCGTGTGAGCACCGACAGCTCCGCCAGCAAGGCACTGAGTAGCGGCAGCTGCACCAGGGTGTTGTGGAGCTGTCCCTGGCTGGCGGGGTGCAGCAGCGAGGGCCCAGCACTGGGACGTGGTGGGCTGTGGCCCTTGTCCTTCTGCTGCGGTCTCTGGGGCTCGACATGCTCCCACTGCCCCACTGTTGCTGGCTTCCGCTGAGGCTCAGCCGGCTCACGGCTGTAGTAGAGCAGCGGAGGGCAAAACACATTGCCTTCCAGCTGCTCGCTGTCCTCCTCTTCCTCCTCCTCCTCTTCCTTCTCCTCCTCCTCGTCGTCTCGCGGTTCAGGGGTGCTGGCAGGCGGTGTGGCAGCGCGGGGGCTGGGGGGACTCGCCTCACCGGCCCGCAGGCTGCTGAGGCGGTAGCTCAGGACCAGCTCCCCGACGGGGCGGCCCGCGGTGTCCCGCAGAGCGAAGCGGCCGCGGCGACCGCAGGAGGAGGGCGCCCCGGGCCGCTGCAGCAGCTCGGCGGCGGGGGCCAGGGACACGGCGCAGCTGCCGAGGAGGCGGGGGGGTCCCGAGGCGAGCCCGGCGGGCAGCGCCAGGAGCAGGGCGCGGAGCGGGCGGCGGCGGAGCGCGGCGAAAAGCGTGTCCGGGCGCCAGCGGAACAAGCAGCGCTTGCCGCGCCCGAAGGGGAAGAGCTGCCCCGGCCGCAGAGGCAGCGCGGCAGCGGCGGGGCGCAGAACGAGGGTGGGAAAGTCCAAGAGGCGCAGCGCCACGGCCGGGTGTTCCGCGGGCTCTGGGAGCTCCGCGGGCCCCGACTCCGCCATCCGCAGCGCCTCCACCAGCAGCTCCAGCGCGAACAGTCCCTCCATGCCGGCCCGCGGGGCCCGCTCTCGCGAGAGGCCCGAGGATGTGCGGGGGTGCAGGCGAGGCGGGCCGCTCTCTCGCGAGAGTCGCGCGGCAGCACCGCTGCCCGTGCGGCGCGTCCCGGGAGCCGCTGCCTGGCGCGGGCCATGAGTGCCTCCAGGAACCGGGTTGGCCGCCTGCCCTGGTGGCTGGGTGGGGGGCAGCGGTCGCAGCCCCCGGAAACCAGGTGCTCCCTGGTATTTGCTCACAAGCGCCCGGTGTGTTGTAGCAGCAGCTGTCGTGTCCCTGCCCTCGGCTCTGAACACCTTGGTCGTGTGTTGCCCACTGTAGTTCTCCAGGGACAGGAGCAGGCGCGGGATGGGGCCTGTGCTCCATCAGCCGGCAGGAGAGGTGTTGGTGGAGGCATTGAGGGACCTTGAACTGTTTACACCTTCACAGAATCACCGAATCAGTTGGGTTGGAAAAGAGTTCTGAGATCATTAAGTCCAATCTTTGACCAAAGCACCATTATCCACCAGATTGTGGCACTCAGTGCCGTGTCCCGTCATGCCTTAAACACCTCCAGGGACAGTGACTCCATCACCCCCCTGGCCAGCCCATCCTAATATCTAATCGCCCCTTCTGTGAAGGAATTCTTCCTAATGTCCATCTAAGCCTCTCTTGGCACAGATCAGGACTGTGTCCTTTTGTCCTGTCGATAGTTGCAGCCTGTTCCTGCTCCAAGAGAAGCATGGGCGTCTGTGTCAAGGGCTGTATACTGAAGAGTCTCTCCACAGTATCTTGGATGTACATTGATAAACTCATATTTTCTCTCCTGTCTGCATGTAAAGTGGGAGCTGAAGTGAGCACACTTGTGAAGAATTTCACTCCTCAGCCTCCTGCCTGGCAAAGAGAGTGCCCTTCCCTCTCTGGCTCTCTTTCCCTTATACCACAGTCTCCTTGCCACAGGCACAACAAATATTTGCTGAGATAGGAAGAAAATTGTGTTGTTTTCTTTAATTAGTAAGTTGACTAAAACAATGTCTCCTAAACTGAGAGTGTTGGGTTAAAATTACAGTGCACCCTCACCTTCTACCAGCAGGAAAGTAACTAAAAGGAAGATCAATCCCCTCTCTCTTTCTGGTTATTTCCTTATTTTTTTCCACTTTCCTTCAACTGTCAATTCACAATTTTTTAGAAAAGTAGAGGCCAACAAACAGGAGGTGGTCGAAGAATCCAACTCTTCACTGTTGGTCAGGTCTCTATTATTTGAATGGCACCTTTCATTACCTGTTATATCTGAGAACAGAGTTAAGGAGTTTGACTTCTATGTTGTGATCAGGACTTAAGAATTATGTAGTTGAGTTCTCAGTTCCTCCACTGCCACTCTTCTAAGCATGTGAGTCTAAGAGCTACATGTCCTCTGCCAGTGTTCACATGTGGCATTGTACTGGCATTGTGGCAGACAAGACAAATGGACAGTCTGTTTCACTATTGCCTCCATGTCCTGCCATCTGTCATCTTCTTTACTTGTGTTTCCTTTTCCTCCAACCAGTTCCCACATCAGGAGGGCCTGACAGTGTAGGAGACATTCTCCAAAAAGGAAAAATGGCAGAAGAAAGGCTTCCTGTTACAGAAATCTCTGTTGACAGAGATTTCACAGTGGTTAAATAGTCACTCTTGAGGTTGCCCAGAGGGACAATGGATCAGAATTTTTCCCATTTTGTAGATAGACATTATTGTGACTGTGAGGTTTAATCCATGATTTCTATTCTCTTATATTTGAAACTTCCAATCTTTGTAGAGGAAGATGCATCTTTCTGTGTGGTAACTGCAACTGGAGGTAGGGAGTGAATTATGGAGGATATTCTTGTTTTAAGATGCTGAGCCTCTGTACTCTGAAGTTTTCAGAGTGAAAATCAGACAATTACTGTATTTTGTTCTGCACAGACAATATAAATAAAAAGTACTGAATACTTGTGAAAACCGTAGGTATTAATAAGCTGTGTAAGATCAGTCAGCAAGTTAGTGAAAAAAATTATTTAAATAGAAAGGAGTAAGGAATTTTAAGTTTGTTCCAGTTGGTGTGTTTTATTAAGTCAATCATCTGGTCATGAGGGCATATTTCTCTTAAAAATATACAGAAAACAACATTTTGGTTTTGAGTTGCAAGTTAAGAGAAAAAAAAGGTGGTTTTCTTCCCAATAGTCTTAGTTTCTACTGACCACCATTTAAAGGAGACTTGTGATAAGACCTCTTTAGATTGCGTATCACTGAAGAATGGTTTAGAAAACAGTCATGCTGCTGAAGTAGGGTTATGGAGCCAAGTTTCATTGCCTCTGCCACTCCAAATGCCACAGGTACATATTTGGATCTACATTAGTTATATTTAGTAATCTTTTTAAAATAGCTCTGCTTCTTCTCAGTCCTCCTTTCGTATAAATAGACAATTTTTCTGGCTTTTTTCTTCAAGACTGGAAGACTGAGGAATTTTGCTGATTCAGTGAAAATCTTTCACTGACCTTGTTTGTATGTTTGAAGTACCAACTTTCTGTCTCAAAAAATTCCAACCCAGACAACTGGTATCATTAGCAGCAACTCAGCAACTTTGGTTCAAATCTATCTTTGGAAGGCTTTGAAATGTCTTTTTTTTGCCCTTAATTCCTGTACAATTTCTCATTTATCTATCTCTGTTCACAAAGAGATCTATCTATACAACTGTACATCTGTTTACGGATTGAGACATACAACACTTAAAAGATCTGGAGAAAGCATGGATTTTGCTAGATTCACAATTGAATCTGCCTATTCTGGTGTTGTTGTAAAGACTGCATTTTTTAGAGATCAAATGCTGGCATGAAGAGCCACTCTTTACCTGCATATGAAATTGCTTTTCTCTGTGCAGAATGTACAGGGCAATGCATGGAATTTGTGCAAATATTTAGCCTGGTGGCACTCTGATTCAGAAAGGAGTCAGACAGTCTGCTGGAATATTCAGCTGCAACATAATAGCAGTCTTAAAATACTCCAGCTTAAAATGCCACCCAGAGAAAACTTATTTAGTCTTTTCTCAGTTATCTGTTGAGTCAGCCACTTGTGAAAGGGCAACAAACAGAAAGAAATTCAGGAATTAGCATGGCAGTCTTCGATAACTCTCTTCATCGGTTCAGAAAAAAATACGGAAATTTATAAAATACATGAGCAAAGCATTTGAGGATTTTGCAATTTACTTAGGTTTCTCTCTTGAAGAATCTAGAAGAAGTTTTGAGGAGTAAGGTCAAATAAGAAAGCTGTTTAGAAATTGCTGTTTGCACATGTTTTGGTATATTGTGTCTTGCTGGGAACTTTGATGTTTTCTGTGTCCAGATTCTACTTCATGATCCTTAATTTTGTGCTGACTCAGATCTAGTGATGTATGGAGCAGTCTAGGAACGGTTACAACGTACAATTATTGGCACAGGCATTTTGTTATCCATTAAAAATGAAGAATACTGTGGCTTTGCCCCACTTCTGAGTGTGTACCCTCCTGTCCACAAAGTGCCCCACTGGGTGGTCAGAGCAGCTGGTACAGAACCTACTCAGACATACAGCTCCAAAATTCCTCCCTTGTCTTGCTACCCTAAAGATGCTTGTGAACTCCTCTTACTTCAGTGTGATAGCTCTCACGTTTATTTTCACTCTCTACTATCTTTAGCAGACTTTGGGAGTGCTAAAATAAACATTCTTTGCCTAGTCATGTGGCCCTTCTCCATTTGGCAAACACCCGTCTGTTTCTTGTCTTTTTAATGATTTCATTGCTTTCCTTAGTATTTTACTTTTTCAGAGTGGTGGGAGTTGGGGCTTATGGCAGAGCCACTTCTTCCAAGTCAGCAGGGGTGGCACACAGGATTGGTGGGGGAAATGGTTGGCCTTTGAGATGCATGTGGTTTTCACAGCCAGGTTAGAAGTACAACCTATGCCAGGTTTTCTTCTGATTCCAAGTTTCTTCAGGGTTTAATGGGAATGCGGCAAAGCACAGCTTCTCCTTCTGTACTGAACAGTCATCATCATCTTTCTTAGATGCAGCAAAACTCAGTCCAAGTAGACACCTAAAGGAAACAAGGAAAAATCTGCCAAATACTGTCAGAACCTACAGGAAGCAGGTTGTCTCAAATGCAGGAGTTCAGACAACTATATTGAACAAGACAGTGAGACATCTATAAGGGTCACATCTGAGGTGATTTCCTTTATTTGAAAAGAGTTCTTATTAAAGCAAATAGACATTTTGCTTAAAACAAAACAATAGTGAAGGGTCAACCTCAGGATTCAACTCATTGAATATTCTTTGTATAATGCCCAGCAACATTCAAAGCCAATTTCCTTAAATATCTGGGTGTTATTAGTACATGAAGGCTTTTCTATCCATTTCTTATTTTGTATAAACCATCACAAACTCACTTGTTATTAAGAAAAATTCCATGGGTTTACATGCTGTCATTTGTAACTAATTAATGTATCATTGTTTAAACTGTGTTACTTCCCATCCAATAGCTGTGAAACTCTCAAAAGTCCTCAGAAGGATTTGATTTATTTCCCTTGGCTTCATTATTGTAGCCCATGCTTGTCATGCACATATGTAGGGAATGAGGAGAGGATTCCAGGTGCTTAGCCATCCAAAGAGGACAGCTTAATCACATAACAGAGCACAGCACTGTTTGAGAAGCACAGCAAACCTGCAGCAAATTTTTTGTCAAGGTGTGGGGATCCTTAAAATCCCTGTTGTAACTGTACAGCCAGAGAGCTCCTCAGCTCCTCTCAGAGACATTGTCTTTGCAGGCAGTGACTTTTCAGACTCGTCACCTCCTAAAAGGATATGTTTACAGCATTTCTCTAGCTCAAGCTGGGAACCATTGGGGGCAAATTGCAGTTCAAATATCTGACAGCGCTTCTGACAGGGAAAGCTCTTGTGAGCTTCAGGATGGTTCTTAAAGTCAATTCAATAGTTAGATGAGATTTCATTAAAATAAAAAATCAGAGATGTCGGCAAATATTTGAGTAGGAAACAGTACTGTGTGCTTTGTACCATCACACTGATGACACTCATTGTTTAATCTGTCATAATTACCATTGTAAAGCATGTTTTTTAAAGAGGTTCCTTTTTTTGCAGTACAGCTGTTTAATTCGCTGTGCATTTTCGACCTCTGATGTTTCCCTTTTTCCCCTCTGAAAATAACTTAAAACAAATTTGACTGTTTTGAGAGCTCTCCTTTAGAGAGGGCAAAATCAAAAGGGACAGGGATGTTGCTGTGCAGAGCTGGACCAGATCCTCCTCACTGAATGTGCATGAGGCTGAGTTATACTCAGGTGCCTGTGGCTGGTAGGAAGGGGGCAGAAAAATTCAATTCCCCTTAGTGAACTGGACTTATGAAGCTGCTTGTTGAGGTTGCAGAAAGAAGGACCAATAAGCCTTGTATTTTTAATCTCCCTTCTTGTTTTTCAAGAAGACATGATGGAAATCCCATGGTTCCAGTAAGGTGGATTGTGAGAGAGATGGCTCTGTCGTGAATGTTTGTCCCTGGCTTGCCTGACA